CTCTTCCCTGTCCCTTGAGCCACACTTTGACTAAATAAGGCCAGGTGAAGGCTCTGTGGACAGCCACATAGAAGAAAGAGACCATGCATGTCCTGGCCCCCTCCCTACCCCGCCTGCATGCCCTGGTGGCTCTTCAGTGGGCATCTCAAGGTGTAGAGTCTTCCTACCTGGCAAAATCCAGGAGTGCGTCTCCGGGGGGGTGTTCCCGTGGCTTTCTCCAAGGCACCTCTGCAGGGCAGAAAGCGGAGATTAGGCCATGAAACAGGCCACTGGTGTGGTTGCCGCCTTCTCAGATGACCCTTAGGAGCAATAAAGCAGGGCTCCAGAAATGGGGCTCTGCTCCCAGTATCTTGGTCATCCCCAACCTGTGACACTTCGTGGGGGAAAGGTAGAGAGCCCCCAGCTGGCCCTTGGGAGCCAGTCTGCTGTTTCTTCCTAAAGAAAGCCCTCAGGAGAGGGCTTGTATCCTGTTCTAACTTCAAGAGGACTGGGTGTTCACAGACACCTCTTTTTTTTTTAATGTTCCTCACTCCCCCCAAATTTACAAGACTCCTCCAGAATGGAGAGCATCATCATACCCCAGTCTTTCTAGCTGGAAGCTTCCTCAAGTCTATAGGCACACAGACAGGCAGGCCAGAAAAGCCAGGGATAGAGGCTGGTAGGAGGGGGGCAGCATGGGATGGGGGGGACAGACCAGATGTTCTTGGAATAGGACACGGGGGTGATTGATGCGGACTGGAATTTGAAAGGGGAACATTCCCCACGTGCCTCATGCTCCGGGTGGAAAATGGGTGTGGGGGGCTCTCTCAATCTTGCCAAGCTAATATGAAGGCAATGCCTCACCCAGCCTGGGTCCCCGCACCTGTCCAAGGACATTAACTCCTGCCTCCCCAGTGTCAGGCTTTGAGAATCCTCTCTCCATACTATGGGTCTCTCTACGGGTGACTATAGAGACAAGTAATGCTTACAGATATGGTCCCAGGCTTTCCCCCCTACTCTGCTACTCCCCAGGACCTCCCCAATCTAACACCCCACCCCAACCCCCAGGTCCCGCTAGAATCGTGGCCCTTCACCTCCAGCATTGCCCAACTTTGAGGGGGTGACCTTGTTCCCAACAACAGCACGGTGAGCCTGTGTGTGGGTTTAATATTTGCCTTTAAGAAGCTGGACTTTCCCCGGCCAGAACTGAGAGGCTAGTCGCCGAAATTTTCTGAGAAAACGAAATGAGGGCCCTGGCACCCGGTCACTGCTATCACTGTGTCATTCTGCGCCCCTTTCACCCCGCCCCCCCACTTTCTTCTCTGCTCCCCCATGTTTTACCCTCTTTCCATACTGCCCAAACAAAACTGATTCCTCCGTTGTTAATTGTTAGGGAGCGGGCAAGGCCTGATCGGCGCGTTCGGGACACGGGACGGGCAGAGGTGGCCACTGGGGGTGCTCCGGGTCCCCAAACCGAGCCAGGGACGAGCCTGCCCCCGGCGGCCGCCTGGCCGCGGCTTCGCCTAGGCTCGCG